CAGGAATGAAGAATTTTTCATCCCAATCTTTCATCAGGAAGGAAAGTAGGACTTACCTCACCCTTCATTCCAATTTCACTGTATGCCTCACCCATCTTGTCCTTCTGCAGTGACTGCAAACAGAGAAGGGGGAAGAGTCAGCATGTTATGAGAAAAACCAAACCAGCTGCTGGTGACTGCACACCACACCTGTGCTTCTGGGGCTGCCTTTGCCTTCAAAACTTCACTATATTCCAGAGAAGGGACAGTGGCAGGATTTGACTGACGTGCATTTGTATAGACGCTACACACAATCACATCTGCTTAGCATATCGATACCACTTCATCTCCAAATACCAAAGTGAATATAACTCCACCGAGTCATTTATCTAGACTGGCACCAGGTACTGCAGTCAGAGCTCTCCAAAGAAAAGTTTTAAGCAGTATTTTTTTAGGGGACAAACACGAACATGCAGCTCAGGCCTAGGGAAAAGGGAAATCTAACACTGCAGGCTGAAGGTTAAGAAAGGGGAGCTTTTCCTTTCTTCATCTGGCAAAGCAGTCCCCAAATGTTTGTGACGAGCTGTGATCAGAGCGGCTGATTCAGTAATGATGAAGCAAGCACCAAACACCCAGAAAGGCCCAAATTAAGACATAAGTATTAGCATTTGTGCTCCTTTGGAGCACAGACCACTAATTTAGCTAGAGTAAAATTGATTATATCAAGAGGTTCCTAAGCAGCCACTCTTAGATACACTGGGATTTGGCCTTTGTCAGAGAGCAGCCAGAGGGGCTGGAGAACAAGCTGCATCAGTCCCATGGGATGAAGGTTGGTTAGGCACTAATGGCCAGCACAAAGGGATCAGCAGGTATCTTGTTCCAAATTCAATGTTTTTGTCTTCTCACGGAGAAGTGAAACAAATTTTTCTAGCAGAAAGGGGGAGTAGAAGGGAAGAGAAGTCTTTGAAAGCAGCTGCTAAGTTTGAACCAAAGCTGAAATTGGGTAAGGGGAAAATAGTCTCCTGTGAAATAGAAACTCCTATTTCCAGCCACCCTTCCCTCTCCTCTCCCTACAGCTCTCTCTACTCACGGTGTAGACAGTGTCCTGAGGGTTCTTTCTTCTCTGCTGTAAAACAAAAGAAGAAAGTTGCTCACATGTTGCAGTAGCACCAGCATCCCCCCCCCCCCCCTTCATATGTGCCTGTGCATTTGTTCAAAGGCACAGCTAGAGCTCTGTGGCCAGGCTGTGCACATTACAGCCCATCCTGCCTCCACCCCTAAGCTCTGCAAAATTAATATTGTTAAAATAATTGATAAAACTTGGTGTTTCTCTGCCCAAGCCGAAGAGCTGCCACCTGCAGGCAAGCCCTACACACTGATGCAGGTTTCCCCTCCCTTTTCCTTTGAAACGGTTGGGCTCTGCAGAAGACACAGTTGCTTTGGCTGCTTGTACTACTCCAGTGGCACTTGTTTGGTGGCATCACGTGCAGTGAGCTCTCATGAAACACCCACTGCTGCCTGCCCTGCTCCACATCCGCCCCGAGGCCGGGTGGCACTTCCTACTCTGGGTGGCTGCAAGCGCTCAGCAAAGTGACAGGGGTGCAAGGGGTGAAGAGCAAAGGGGAGGAGGAAGGTTTACTCCTGTCCCCATCACGCTGCCAGCCCCGGAGTTAGTTACTACACGGATTTTGCCATCCGCTCTCCGGGAAGGCATCACTGCCTGCGTGTCTGAGCAGCGTTAGGTGTGAGAAGGAAGGAACCAGCCTAAAAAGGTGCCTTTGTGGGAGGAAGTTACCTGGTGTCTCCCGCCCAGCTCAGGGTCTGCACCTCGCTTTGCCCCCAGAACATCATATTCATCTCTGTGCCCGCGAGACAGTTTCTGAAACAAGAAAGGAAGAAGCAGTGATAGACATGGTGAACATGAGAAAACAGGTCCTGACTTAACACAAGAAAAGAAGGGAACACTGTCTGGTGTCCAACTTCACAAGTACATAATGAGCTACGAATTCTTTTTATGCCTTAATGCAATTGTCAACAAAAAATGTCTCTGACTTAGCCATGGCAGTGAGTGGTCTGTGCAGCATAAAGCACAAGCCATTGCCTCAAGAATCTTTCTTAAGGAGAAATGAGTTGAAAATGAGAGCACGCAAGGGGGAGGACACCGACGTTGATGCTTTCTCTGCTGCTGGTGAGTGAAGAGGCACGAGCAAAGAAGCTCGTGTAAATTTGTGACAATAAGCTACAGGTATTTTACGCCCAACACATTTCTTAGCTGGGAAAAATTAGCTTAGAAGAGGGCAAAGGAGAGCTTTCAGGTCAGAATAATACACCTGACAAAGTGCTGCTGAAAAGGGGACAGGCGACACTTCTTAAACTGAAAAAAAACACACACATTAGTGTTCATACATTACACAGTTAAACTGTAGAACTCATCACAGGATGTGGCTATGGGCAAAAGCGTGAGAGAAAAAAATTAAAATCACAAGACAACTAAACATAGCAAAAAAAGCAGAGTTTAATGCTGCCATGAGTGAGCAATTTAGCTAGGAAAGACATTCAAGACATTGTCTCTGTCCTCTTTCACTGCCTAAAAAGCCATCTGATGCTGGCTATGATCAGGGCACAGCGTATGAGGTATGACTCGGGTATGACCTGGTAGAACAGGTCTCTGGGCAGGGCAACAGGAAAGCTCAGAATGGGGACAGCTGGGCTGTGGTGACTCAGGCTCCGCACGCTTCATCACACAAGCTACGGTTGCATGAAGTCAGCAACAAAGCATTCCTGGCCATTTGCCTGTTCTCCAGCCCACATCAAACACTGGCAACACCTCTGACTTGCCTGAGGAACAGAGCTGCAAGCCAGCTGCAGGGGGCCAGGTGAGAAACTGGGGTGTGCACATCACGTATAACACTCTGGTGGCTGCACACACTCAGCCCTCTCAGGTGCATTGCACAGCGCAGCACACCAAGCACTGCCTCTGAAATGGTCTGGGTTCCTGGTATGCTTTCAGCTCAGTGGATCAAATCAGGAACCTACAACCCATGTACTTATCTAGCCTCTAGCCAGGTAAGTGACAACAGCTGCCCTTGTCGGGTTTTATCTTTCCTCCTTGCAACTGCTGTGCTGCACACCTGGGTATAGCGCTTTCATTAGCTGGGTCATCAGATCCACAGGCAACTCACTCCCTGTGAGTGCCCCCCAAAGTCTGTCTGGGTACCAGACTTGAAACCAATCAGTAACTACTTACATTATACACATCATCCTGGCCTGGTGGCAGCTGGTGTTCAGAGGCCTGGCTCAGCTGGAAGAGAAAGCATACTATGAGCAGAGAGACAGTGGCTCCATTCAGTCCTTTCATACCCTCTCTCCTACAAGTTACTCTCATCAGAAACAGGGCAACCCATAAGCAGCCACCCTAGCTTTTAGCCAGGTTTGTATTTAGGCATAGGATGAACTAGACTTTGTTTTTTAAAAGCATATTTCTAGTAATTACATGTTACTTACTCCACCCCTTTCCCCGTGAAAGTGCCATTATTGCCCCCAAGCCTTTGGTGGGACAGCTTCTGCCTTACGATTAGCAGAGGTCCCAGAGCATTTACATGTCTGGAAACATAGATATCTCCATCATGTCATGTTATCTTCTGTGGAAGCGCACTAAAGCCACTGTCTCCCTAGATGCAGAACAGCTATTGTTGACGTTGATGGTAACAGCAGCCCATCAAATTGTGTCCATCCTGTCCCCCTGACTCCTCTCCTGTGGTTGTTATGATTGTATCAGTTGCATCATCATGCTCATGCTATCAAAGATGTCTAATTTTTTGAGACATTTTAATACATCCTTCACAACTTTGGCATTTGTCCTGAATTTGCTGTGTATTCCCTCCTCTCTTTCCAATGACAAAGCAGCAGAAGACACAACATCACTCTTAATCAGGCATTTCCCAGGTACAACGTCCAGAATCTCTGTCTTCATCCATACTATAACCATAGTATCAAAACACTCTCACATACTGTCTTCCCCACCCTTCACGAACCTCATGGAAGAACTCCCCCAGGTCGCTCAGGTTGGCCCCAGAAAAGGGAGAAAGATAAAAAATAAAGAGAAAGTAGATTTTAAAAACATCTTAATCTGAAAGACATGCTTCCTCTCCACCCCCTCAGCCCAACCTTTTGGTTGTTTACACCATCAAAGCCAAAGGCATCAATGTTTGGATAGGCTCACCTTTGCCTTCACAAACAGGGCTGTTATGACAACTGCGTAAATGAAGAGGAATCCATCCAGTAAGTAGCAGAGTCTTGGGTCTGTGAGCCCGAGAACTTGTACAGCATCTGTGCAGAGACATCAGATACGTCAACAAACAAGGCTGCCTGTACCACTGGGTGCTTGACAGCACAATTAAGTAGAACGTAGAAGTGCTTCATCAAAACATAGCTGGTATGAGGGCAAAAGTGTGCATTTGCAAAGGAGGTGCAAATCTGTCTCAGAGCCATAGGATTGATTAGGTCAGAAGGGACCACTGCAGGTCCAACCCTCCCTCTAAACAGGCTGTCCAGGACCTCAGCCAGCTGAGTTGGAGTATCTCCAAGGAAAGAAATGCTCGTGACCTCCTTCAACCAATGCAGGACGTTCTACTCTGGGTTTCCCAGTCGCAGAGCCTGCATGGAGATAACCAAGGTCACTGCAAGAAAGCCTCACACAAAGCATTTGTTTTTGGGGAAACCCAGCAGCATCTCCTGCAGGGATTCATTACTGGTCCTGGTTAGGGATTCCTTCATCAAGAAAAACTTGCGTGTGTGAGAAAGTGTGTCTGTTTGGACAAAAATTTAGTGAAAGTCTCCTTAGGGCAAAATGTTGTGTTAAATGTAAAAAGAGCCAACCATAGTTGGCTGGAGAGCTAGCCCGAAATCACTACCCTATTCAGAAGAGGAATTTTAGATGCATCTCTGTAGCTCAGGTTATATACTGTAACTATAAACCTGCACGGTCTTCTCTGTGAGGGTTCTCTTGGTTTGGGGATGCTGGAGACCATTAATCCTGCAAAGAGAACCATGGCCAGGAGAAAGACATTTAACCCCAGATGTCAGGACACATCCATGAACACCCATGAGTCACTCTGATGTGCTTTCAGTTTGAGAGGAAGGTTTTAAACCTGAATTCCCTGCACAGGAACCACAGCTGGCTGCCTCTTGTTGGATGGGTTGCCCCTAAAAGATTACTCATTTTTTGGTTTTAAGATAAGTATTAAAACTTTTCTGAGGGAGGAAAATCTACTGTTACCGTAATTGAGAGCTCCATAAAACTGTTAAATGGAAGATGTTGATGTTCATTTCCTAGTTAACACTGCATGTGTTTATACCCTAACATATATAGCAGGGCACAGTAATACTGTTGGTCTCCAGCAGCTGAAACTGATGTAACTGGCATTTCAGTTCATAAACATGTAGTGAGTTCCTAAGTGTCACTAAAAGAAAAATTGAAGCAATTAGGTCAAGCAGCCTAAATAACTATAGATCCAATATGCACTTCTAGGCCCATCCCCAAAGGAAAAGCTGTATTGCAGAGTTATTAAAATTAAAAAAAAAAAATCACTTAAAAATTAATCTGGGATGTGCTTTGTACAAAGAACTGAAGGGAGTTCAAAAGATAAAGATAAAGACAAGGATGATCAAGAGCCTGCAAAGCCCTTCGATGAAGGTAAGTTGAAAAGAACTGGTAGGATTCATCTCCTTCCTAAGGTGAATGGAGTATGGCAATTCTTACTAACCACAGTGATGGAGTATAGTTGAACCACCCAGCACAGTGCATGGTGCTGAGTTACCCCAGTGCTGAGAACAGGACCATTCTGTGTGCTGGGGTTTCTCCCTGCCCCGTCATTGGCAGGATCTTGTGGGTGACATTCAAGCACTCAGCACTGTGAGGAAGCCTCCTGCACAGAACTGAAGTTAATGCTGATGGCCTGTCACACCGCCCAAGAGCACGATTTATATGAAGCACGACTGAAAAGCCATGCCTGTGTGTTTGTAAATTCTCAAGCAGATGATGATACAATCACTGTTCCCACCGAGAGCCTAACACAGACAGAAAAAAGTAATTCCCAACCAGGAGATTTGTTTGCTTGGCTCAGCCATGAGCTCGCATTCCTTTTGTGTTTTTAAATCATATGTTTAGAAACAAATCCACAGAAATAAATTAAGATCCTAGATGATTTTCCTTCTTCCTCTCTGTTTCTATGATTTTAAAAAGAAGGTTCAAAATATTTTATAAACAATAACCTTCACTACATTTTTTTTCAGGATTATAAAACCTCTTATATATCTGGGGTAAATGAAGATAGAGATTAAGTTACTTGCCCAATACTGTGTGTTAAACCAACAAGCTGAGATTAGCTTCCTCGAGTTTCTCTTTTGAATGATCACAGGACAGTATTTTGCACCAGAGCTGGTTCAACACGAAACCAGTTTGAATTGCTTTAGGTTTGGTAGCTAAAATGCAGCACTGGGGAAATACAGCTGCAGAGCATCCAGAGGCAATCTGTTTCTAGCAGTAATTAAGCTGCTTTCGCACAGTGCGGCAGCCTGGCCTCGAGCTGCATGTGCCCGGAAGCAGAAAAGCCATGTAAGGAAGGTGAGCAGCTTCACACAGAGCCAGAGAGCCTGGGGGTATCTGAGATGCTGCTGAGGAAAGCTTTGGGGATCCTGGCCCTGACCCCCTCTTCCTGTACCAAAGCAGAGCACATTCACACCGTCATCTCAAGTCCAGTATTTCTCCAGAACAAATAAACTCCCCAGACCAGGAGGGGCTCAAGGAGACATAGAGGTATATGTAGGAGAAGACAAGAGTGCAGGGACTCAGCTGTAGCTCCATGTGAGCTGTGGTTAACCTTGGCTGACTCTGCAGAGCCACCCAAGTGCCTAAGGGGGTGCTTATCTGGGGCAGCCTGGCCTCCCGTACCCCAGGTGATGGATTAAAACTGTTCAGTGAGGGAAATCCTGCTAGACATAGTCTGGCTGCAGTAGTTCCTGAAGATACATGTTTTGAGACAATGATAAAGTCCAGTGTTTAGAATCAAACCAAGAAAACTAATTACTTTATGTCTTTTCCTTCCTTCGTACGTTTAGTTTCTGTATTCTTAAAAAGAAAAAAAAAGAAGATGCAAAGAACTTTCTCAATAATAACCTTTGCAACAGTTTTCTCGGTTAGAAAGTGGGAAAGAGAAAAAGACAAAAGATTCAAGACCTATTGAAACAAATGACAAAGAGATATGAAGCATAATGAACAAGTGGCAGTTATAACAGTTAAAAACAGGTAACATTCATTCTTATGAACAGGATCGGTTTAGGGTTTTAAATTGCTAGAGGAGAGGTTACTGCCTCTTCAGCATTTGCACAACACACTCAGGCAGAAGGCCAGTCCCTCAGGCACCACCAAACACAATTCCTGCCCCTCATCAGCCCTGAGCTGCAGTATGGGGGACCAAGGCCAAGGCTGCACTGCTGCAGTTGATGGTCCTTTCCAACCCTAACCATTCTATGGTTCTATGATGGGCTGATGCTGGGAGCTGGGCAGAGCCAGGAGGCATGAGGGGCAGTCACACTCGGCAGAGAAAAGCACAGATAATGACCATTTCACTGATAAGTCCCACTCTGTTAACCTTACAGATTACCCAGTGCCTACTGGGAGTTGCATGATGTCTTTCCATATACCAGTGCTTTACCAGTCCAAATTTCAGCAGTCCAGTAAAGTACAGCAGGGTTTTAAAGCAAGATGTCCAAGTACAGGCAAGTGGCACAGCTAAGGTCAAGTCACAGGCCAGCAGAGAAGACAGTTACATTGCATGGTAAATGATGTCAGGCTTACTGCTTAAATGTGGCTTGGGCAAACAGCATTCCTCTCTCTCCAGGCATCAAAAAGGAGTGAAGCCACAAGTCAACATCCAAGTGTGCAAATACACAAGGGCTTAAGGATGAGGTCAAAGTAGTGCTCTTGCTCAGGAGGGAAGCAAGCTCCTGAGGAATAACAATTGGAACGTTTGCATTTACTCCTGCTCACCATGTGCTCTTATGGAAGTAGCTGCACAGTTAGATCTCCCTGCTGCACAGTGGGAACGTTTCCTCATATACCACCAGGATGTTAAGGAAAACCAGAAACAAATTATGCAACCTACAGCATTAGGTAATTTATTTTATTTTCTTTTCTAAAGGAATTTGTACAGGAAAAGCTGTGGAAAGTTTTGTACAAGGAGCTGGCACAGGCTGAAGAAGCACTGGAAGAGCCACAGCAGATGGGGCAGTGGGAAAGGAGATCGAGTCAGGGGAACACTGGTGCATTTTGTGACAAGGTTGCCAGTCCTTCTCAATCCCAAACCCCACGTAACTTCTTTCCCAAGCCGTGCTTCTGCCATTAATAAATTGCTTCCCAGCACCTCCTCCTTCCTAAGCCTGGTCTTTTCTCCCCTCTTCTTCCCCCCTCCCACCCAGCAATGAAGCCTTGCCTTTCTCTATGCCCAGGCACTCTCTCCTGCCACTGCAGGTCCATGCACCCATATGCCTGGACCCCAGGCTGGCACATCTCCCTCATCCTGCCCCACACACATGTCCCTGGACCCACACTGCCAGCCCCTCATAACACCCCCCTGTGGCCTTTTACTTTTTAAAGTATGAAAGGGAGAAAAAATTAAAAAGAAAAAAAAGGCAATTCACAGCAACTGCTGATGACAAGCAAATGAAACCCCCCTTCTAGCAGCAGCCCAGCAGCAGCCTCATTAGCTGAAAGAGAGGAAGCCCAGGGGCCGGCGGGGAGCCGTGCTGCAGGTGCCCTCACAGCAGCCCGTCCTGTGCAATGTGGTTTTGGAGAGCAGGGTCACCCCCCCAGCTCAGGCCCAGTGCATGCTGCCGCTGCTCCCCTGCTCCAGGCTTACAGACAGCCAACGAGTCCCAAAACCCATGGCCAGACACATCCAAAACGCAGCACAATCAGCACCCCGAGGCTGCCAATAGCCCAGTCCACACAGCTGGCCCCCAGTGCTGGCTCAGTGCTGCCAGTCTCAACAGGGATCTGCTGAACAGAATCACTAAAACATGGCCTGGACCCTTGGAACACATTACTCTATCTTTTTAAAGCAGGATGTTCCCCCTCCAATATTTTTAGTGTGCTCCTGGATTGAGTTACACCATGATTCCTGGTAGTAGTTTAAGAAATACAGACTGCAAAAGCTGAACTACTTGTAAAATCAGATCAAATCTCTCCACCATAAAATTTTCTCTCTCCCATGGCCCTCATTAAATGATTAATTTGAGAATTTTTAGGGGTTACAGAATTCAGTAACACG